CTCTTTTGGAATGTGGTGTTACTACCTTCCTGAAATGTCTTGTAGTTAGACATTTCCAGCACCAAGTGAAGAAAGCTGTTTTGTGTAAAAAGAATAAAGTGAATTAGCGTTGCAGCAGACACAAGATGGAAAGTGGTAGAGAAGCAGCAGGAGTACTGTTGTACCAGACCTTTCTCCAAGGGTTGATAGGAGGTGTGAAGGTGAAGATCAAGGAAATAAAATATTGAGCACGGGAGTTACCACTTCTTTGAATAAAAAACAATGACTTGTGTCATAAACAGCATTCTCTACTTGATATCAAGGTTCTGTAATTCATTTCAATGGCCACATTGAACTGAGACAATATTCATGTTTAACAGTCTTATTAAGGAAGTTAACAGGTTGCAATACAGGTGAGAAATACTCAGGATACAGTTGCTTAGCCAGGATATGTTACAAAGTTCTTTCAGGACAGCTAATAAGTGCCCAGAGAGGGTATACCTGTAAGCCTCAACTCAAAAGGCATTCAGCTCAAATCCTTGAGATAACACACTTCAATAAGTGTCAGCCTGAAGGCACTCAGCTCCACTCCTTGGGTCAGCAAGCCAGCTCCCCCAATTAAGTCCCCAAAGGCACCTCACTCCACAAGCCAACCTCCTGCCCAGAAGCACTCAGCCTTTCTTGCTTTACTGCTTGTGTTTTTCGGTCTGGCTCCTGGTTTGCTGTTGCTTCTCTGATGTCGAACTGTCATCTGGATCAAGGAGGTTCGCTGCACAGGGATTTCTGGGTCCACAGCATACACTCCTCTTCTGACTCTTGCTGGTAGTGAGAGCCTCCCTTGAGCTTCTCAGAGGGCTCATTCTGTACCCTGCAGGATGGCAGAATATGAGGAGGTACACCCCACCACTCCCCCCACCCTGTCAACAGAATTTTTCCCCAAAACTATGTATTTAATTTTCTTTTTCCAAACCTTATCATCTTCAAAGTACTCTCCATTACACTTAGTACATTTGTGACATCTGTTATTCCAATCTTGGAATAATTTTTAAAACTCATCTGTTCAGATAACTTGACAACACCTCTCTTATTTTCTTCACTTCTAAGTTGTTAAATCGCTGTCCTTTCATATCCCTTATCATTTGTGGAAATTAAAGTCTCATGGAGCAAGGTCAAGTGAATAAGATGAGTGGAGCAAAAGAGGCATGCTAATTTTGACAAAAACACTGAGATGGTCGGGTTAGCAGGTGCGTTGTAGCAAATCCAGTCCCCCGCCTGATTTTTGCCACACACAACATGTTATGCATTCTTTTCAGACTCTAAATAGAAAGTTTGATTAACAGTCTGACCTGGTGGAATGAAATCCAAATGCATTATCCCCCTCATATCAAAAAAACAAATGAGCATCAGTTCTTTTGGGGTACTCCCACGTATATCCAGTTAACAGTTACTCACAGGTGAATCCTGTCAGTGTCTTCCCCACTTTCTTACCCAGACCCATTTATGGAGAGATTGTTAGGAGCTACAGGAATTGGCTAGAAGAGCCACATTAAGTAACTCACTCGCTTTTTTAGGCCAGCTGGGTTCTTGGAGTATTTCCCCTTTCATGCTAGCAATGTACATGCTGGATAGACACCCCTACTCTTTTAATTGCTGAGATAATTGACTCCCTGGCATTTGAACCTCATTTTGTGCTGAGTACATGATCTGTGTTTCAGATCTAATGTACTAGCACTGTTGTTCTCACTGCCGTCCAGTTGGTTCTTTTCCAGGGCCATAACAACATTGTCGCTTTCTCGATGTTGTTCTAAGTTAATAGCAAATGAGATTTCGCCATCTACTTTAAGGTTTTCCTTACTTTAAGTGGATTTGGATTTTTTCCCCTTCTAAAAAGAGGATGGCAGCTTTTTTTAGCCAAATTTGAATTTTAGTCAAACTTGAAATTTGTTGTTTTTTATTTGTAGGCAAACATTCAAGTAGATCTGTGTAAATAGCAGGAGGAATGATTGTGTATGTGCTACTGGCTCTTGTAAAAGGGTATAACGTCAAACTGGTGAGAGGAAGGAGGCAAGCTTCATGGAACTGCTTTGTTTTTTGTCTTTAACAAGGGGGATTCTTACTACTATTCTGTCACCCTGTCTAGTGGAAAATATGTCCCTTCTTCCAACAGGTTTCTTATCTTACAAGGAATTTGTGTATAAATAACTATCCTTTTTTGGTCATCATGTTATTTTTATGTAAGTTATGGAAACTTAGGTCTATGAATAAATTCAGAAAGGACAAATTATTTTTAAAGGGAAAAAGTAATTTCTTACCTAAAAACACACTGTCTTAAAGAATTGGCTTGGAACCCTTTGAAGGAGACCTTAGCAGTGAGGGAGGCGTTTTTGTTTTGTTTTTAACTTTTCCTTTCCTGCCAGTGGGAGTAGGTCCCCTCAAGTTAGACTCTGGAGCACTAGTCGTAGCGGACATGTATGAATTGCCAGGAAGTTTTGCTTTTGAAGACTCATCCTTTTCAGCATCCTCCGAAGCTTCTGCACTCACTCACCCCTTATCCCCTCCCCTTCTGTAGTAAGAAGAGAGAAGAGATTTCTTGTCTGGCCTTGGCTAGGGTTGGAAGAAGGAAGCTGTGTGTGTTTTTCATAGACAGTATTAGAAAAGATGGTAGTGCTATAATTGTTGCATTTTAAGTTAAGTAGCATTTACAGACCAGCATAAGAACTGTAAGACCTTTTATAATGTATTAATGGAAAACAGCTGGTTTACAAATGAAGCTTGATTCAACATATTGGTAAGTTTGGCTTTTATTTAGTTTAATTTTAAAATGTAATTTTACAATTTATACAAAAAGAAGAACTGATAAGTAGGCTTTATCTTTAGTTGGGTACGTTTTCTTCTTGACTTGTAGCTTATAGCATTTTTAATCAGAAAACTTGAAGGCTACTAGCAACTGAGAAAAAAACATGAGAAGACTTAGTGTCAATATTAAATAGGAAAATTACCTTTAAAATTCTGAGGACCCACAGGGTAAGTCAAGTGGGAGACTAAATGATCAGGAATCATCTTCTTTACTATTAATAATAATAATCATTATGCCTTACATTTAAAAAATGAGCTTCTCTGTTTACGCTCAAAATTTACTGGCCTAGAGAAAATAAAAACTTCATTTGTGTTTTTTAAGAAGGTTAATCAGAAATATTAAGACTTTGTAAAGTACATAGGATCAAAGACACTTCAGAATATTACCCTTATGTGCATATCTGTAAGTGGATTAAAAATGTTCTAAGTTTAGCAGTTTTTGCCTTCATTCTTATTGCTTGGTCCTGTGTCCTTTAACGCAACCCACTGCTATTGCGTTGCCTCTGATGCAGCGGTCCTTTATGAGGTTTCCGAGATCGGAGATGGGAGCGGAGACCTTTCCTCTTTGTCCCGCGTGTCTCTCGGGTTACCAGTAATAAAGCTTTCAACAGAACACGTCTTACAAATGTGGTGCTAAAACCTTTAAAGCCATGTAATATATGAGGTGAACAGTTCAGTTGAAAATGAATGCTTGGAAAACACATCTTGGGTCACCAAAATTGTGTTTCAGAAACAGTATTTTATCAACAGATTGTAGAGTCTTGTGATTACCCAATATCTCAAGTATAGGCATTTGATTTTGTATTTCTTTTACATGTGTTTGAGTTTTAAATGTGTGAAAACTTAATTCTCAAAAGGAGTTTTACTGTAAACTTTAAATAATAAAAAATGGGGAAATGATCGTGTTGTTTAGTTATATAAAGCAAATTTTTATAAGTTTTTTTTACTTTCTTGGTGAAAAACACTCAGAAATTTACACTTAGAATAATTGGTTAGTAATTACAACAGTATTGAGACTATCAAGAGTTTTGGGCATTTACTGTGTGTTAGAGACTGGTAGGCAATTTTTTTATATCATTAAATTTAATCTTCATAACAGCCCTAGAAGACATGGGTTTTTACTCCTCTTTATAGTTGGAAGACACATAGACTTTGAGAGGTAACTGACTAGTCTCATTTTGCATAGCTCAGTGTGTGTCTCACCCCAAAACCCGTATGTCTAATGTGTATAGTCTGTTTCATTGATATGGTAATAGTTTCTAGGAAACCTCATTTTGAAAAAAAGTACTTTATAAGACACTGCAGTGTCAAAAGAAGAGAGGGCTAAAGAATTTCAAGGGCGAGAGAACTTCAAATTTATGGGAAAACATTTTTTTTCTCAAAAATTCCAGTAGATTGAAAGTTTCCTTTAACGGCTCTATGTTCATACTTCTAAAACCAAGGCTTTGCAAACCCAGCATTTGGGTTTTTGCTTAGCGCTTTTACTCACAAGTAGTAATTTTTATTTTCCTGTCACTAGTGCTAACATTAGTTACTATGCTTCCTGATGCATTCTCTTAATGTATTTGTTATGACAGGTAGCACACAGTCCTATCACCATATCACCACTATCCCTGTCAAGATGAGTCATTATCAAAAGCAATCATACTGTATACAAGTCAGGTTCTCTTCATTTGAGTTAGTGACAGTTGTTTTTTTCCCCCTACCTTATCCTGTAGTGTTAGAGACAGTTTTATCATAAGAAAAAAGCACTGTGGAGAGATTTATACTAACCTGAGCTTGCTTATACTAGCAAAAGAAAATCATATCTGGAAATACTAAGTCTAACATGAAATAAATTCTTTTTTCAATTTTTGTGTTCTGAACGATGAAATATCTGTTAAGGTTCAGTAAGTAAGTTTTATTTTATCTAACTAATGTCATATAATAGAGGGGTTTTAAATATTGATAAATGCTATTGAGTTGTGTTTTAAAATTTATATTTGAAAGACGTCTTTGTTTTAGTTCTAAGAATAAATTTTTATATTCTAACAACTTGTTTTCCTTTAGGAGTAGATCCCACAATCGATCTCGGTCAAGACAGAAAGACAGGCGTAGATCTAAGAGCCCACATAAAAAACGCTCTAAGTCAAGGGAAAGGCGGAAGTCGAGGAGTCGCTCACGTTCACGGTGAGGTTGAGGGAATTAAGGATAACTCTTTGTTGGCTTTATTTGTTAAAAAAATCCATTGTTGTTTAGTATTCTAAGGAGAGAAATAAAGCTTTCTCATTGTTTTGGTAATCTAGAATTAATATTGATTGCCGATATGAATCTGATTGTTGATCACTCAAGAGGCTTCAGACCTACTCGAGTCAAGCAGTTCATTGTGCCATTCTGTAGCTTCCTGGACACACGAGTGCTGTAGAAGCGGGCATATGAAGTTTGTAGCCTTGGAAATTGCTTTGTATTGGAAAGAGTAGGATCTTTTTTGAGGGGTTGGCAGAGTAGAATGATTTTGGGTGTGAATTTACTTTTTTTTGTTTGCTTTTAAAGGGACAAGAAAAAAGACACTCGAGAAAAGATGAAGGAAAAGGAAAGAGTGAAAGAAAAAGATAGAGAAAAGGAAAGGGAAAAAGAGAGAGAGAGGGAGAAGGAGCGGGACAAAGACAAGGACCGGGGCAGAAACAAAGAGAAGGACCGGGAGAGAGAGCGGGATAAAGAGCGTGAAAAGGAGCGAGACAAAGAGAAAGAAAAAGAACAGGACAAGGACAAGGACCGCGAAAAGGACAAGTCCAAAGAGGTAGATGAGAAAAAAAAGAAGGATAAAAAATCCAGAACACCACCCAGAAGTTATAATCCATCCAGAAGATCTCGTAGTTCCAGCAGGTTTGCTACTGTTTAACATATTTATCGGTGCTTTTACTGATGGCAAAGAAAAGCATATATTTTCTTTTCGACTTTAAAAAAAATTATTGTTGGGATTTAATTCCTATCATTCCATATTTCAATCATGTCAAGTAGAATTGTCCAATTGCTACCACAGGCAGTTTCCAAACATTCTTTTTCTACATGATCTCTTTGACATCGTCTACCCCCTCACGGAACCCCTC